TAGTCTCCTGCGACTACAGTGCCGGCAAACCGCGTGCAGTGCAACGCTGGCAGACTACTCTGCTGCAGCGTTGGCAAGCCGCGCTTCTGTTGCGCTGGCAAATTTCGCCCTTGCTAGGTGTTGGATGCCATTCTAGTCATATCCTTCTGCATGCCTCAATTGTACTCCATTTTTTTCAATGTTCTTTCAACTTCCTTAAGGGAAACAATTGTCAACCTTCAACTTTCTTTTGCAAGTAGTAAGAACGCCACAAGAGCGCTACAATCACTCGCACAACCCCGTGCCCTCCTCCGTAGTCCACTCCCGTTGTGTAGTGACTCTCTACACTGATGTCGTTGACGAATTGTTAATCGACCCGTCACTGTTAAAAAATCACACATAACTCTAAATGTCTGGCACGACCACGTGCATCTGGACAATGAAAATTTCGCGAGGCGAAAAGTAAATGATGAAACCGATCGCCTGCCCAACGTTGAAGAAATGGTGTCAAGAACTGAATGATGTTTTGACTAAGGTTGGTTGGGGTACATAAACCTAACCCTAACTACTGTACCCTATATCACACACATCACTTAGACTATAACATCTGACACACCTCCATAGCCTAAGTGAGGGGTGTCAAGCAAGACCAACAACGTACGGTCACAAGACCAGTCACAAAACAACAAAGCTCAGGGTGGATCACAATGTCACCACACACTCTGAGCACAAGCAAAAGAGCCACAAGGCCTGTTCAAGAATTCACACAGGTATATATAAAGCTACAAACAAAGAAAGGAGAGAACTTAAGACTACGCAAGGCGAGAACATGTGTCAACGAGACCTAACTGCACACAACACCTCGGAAGGCAGAAGGGCCTTGGTGAAGATGCCTGCAGTGTTGGCCTCGGGCTCCACAAAGTCGAAGCGAGACTGTCCACGCCGCTGCAACTCTCGCAGAAGAAAGTACCTGACATTGATGTGCTTCACTCTGCTCTCCAGTCGCGGCTCTCGACAGAGGAGAATCGACGCCTTGTTGTCAGTGAACAAGGTCGGTGCAGAGCTCGGTCGCTCACAAATGTCGATGAGCAAGAAGGTCAACCAGCGCAGCTCCTGTGCAGCCATGGCTCCAGCGTAGATCTCAGCCTCAGCCTCAGCCTTGCTGGATGCTCATGATGAAGTACCACGTCGACAATACGGTCGCCTGCGGGAAGGCGCGTCTGGTGGTGAAGGGCTTCACGCAGGTCTATCTATGGCGCAGATTATGACGAAACGTACGCGCCGGTGAGGAGCTATGTGACTCTGAAAATCTTTCTCAGCATTGTAGCTGTGCTGACCTGCATCTGATGCAACTCGACATGAAGAATGCGTTTTTACAGAGTAAGCTGGATCGCGTCCTCTACATGTATCAGCCCGACTACTACAACGACGGAACCGGTCGCGTCTGCAAGCTGCTGAAGAGCTTGTACGGGCTGAAGCAGAGTCCGCTGATGTGGAACTCGGCGCTCGACACGGTGCTGACGGGCGCTGGCTGGCAGAAGAGTCAGGTCGACGAGGCACTCTACTTCAAGGCCGGAGATGGCGGAGTGATGTACTGGATGCTCGTCTACGTCGACGATCTGCTCGCTGCAAGCAGCAGCACTGCGATGCTGAAGGAGCTGAAGGAGCTGCTGGAGGCCGCCATTGAGTTGGGCGAGATCAGTACGGTCGAGAAATATCTCGGGCTGGAAATCGTGCGCGACCGTCCTGCGAGGAAGCTATGGCTACACCAGCAAGGCTACGTCGACAAGCGGCGAAGACGCTTCATCGACGAGGAGCAGACCGGGCGTGTGCCAAAAACGCCGGTCTCCGTCGACGCCTAAGCAGAATTGACTTTCGACGACGAGGAGTTCAAGTCGCGTGAGGAAGCAGAGTACCGGCAGAAGGTCGGCTCGCTGCAATTCGCGGCCACCACGACGAGGCCCGACATTGCCTTCGCTTGCAGCAAGCTCGGATCCGGCCTGACTGTGCGGAGCGACAACCACTGGCGCGAGGTCGATCGCTGCCTGCACTACCTCGCTGAAACTCGTGACGTCGCTCTCGAGTTTGGCGGCGGATCAAAGTCGCTGGTTTTGGTCAGCTATGCAGATGCCGATGACGCTGGTGACAAACAGAATCGGTCAAGCACAGGCAGTTACGTGTTCGTCTTCGGCGGAGCCGCAGTTTCGTGGTTGAGCCAGCGCATCAAGTGCGCAACGCTTTCATCGATCGAATCAAAGTACGTCGCGGCCACCGAAGCCGGCAAGGAGGCTCGCCGTCTGCGCTTCCTCCTTGCAGAATTCCGCCTGCTCGACCCACGGATGCCGACTGTTCAACCCAGTCGGCAATCAAAGTCGCAGAGGGCTTGGGGCTCAAGGGCAACCTCAAGCACATGGAGCGACGCTACGCCTGGCTGCAGCAGATGGTGAAGCACAGGAAAATTGCTCTGCAGTACGTCCCAACTGTCCAAGGAAATAGCCCCGCCCTCGCTTGGGCGCAGCCGATCTCGCCGTCGACGAGAAGTTCGTGACGCATTGGTAGACGAAATGGGCTTCTGCAGTTCGACGGAAGTTGCGGTCGAGCAGGAGCTGCTCGACAGAATCTGGTCGACGAGCTCTGCGCGACGAGCTCTGGTCGACGATCTCTACGTGACGAGCTCCCGTCGAAGAGCGCTGGTCGACGATCGTGGTCAAGGAACTCTGGTCGAGGAGTTCAGGTCGAGAAGCTCTGCTCGGCGAACGCTGTTCGACCGAGCGATATTGAGCCGATCGACCGAAGATGCAGAGTTGTGCGAAACTCTGCGGGCGAAGTTCTACCTATGGAACGGCATCACGTGGTCGACGGTGCGCACCTGGCAAAACCGGCGACACGTTTTGTACCTGGCACTTGCGCAATGTGCCTGACGGTGAAACCGCCAACCTGCACCTACTTGGTAGGTGCGCACATCTGCGCAGATAGACAACCTGCGACTGCAGATAGTTACCTGCGACTGCAGATAGTCACCTGCGACTACAGTGCCGGCAAATCGCGTGCAGTGCAACGCTGGCAGACTACTCTGCTGCAGCGTTGGCAAGCCGCGCTTCTGTTGCGCTGGCAAATTTCGCCCTTGCTAGGTGTTGGATGCCATTCTAGTCATATCCTTCTGCATGCCTCAATTGTACTCCATTTTTTTCAATGTTCTTTCAACTTCCTTAAGGGAAACAATTGTCAACCTTCAACTTTCTTTTGCAAGTAGTAAGAACGCCACAAGAGTGCTACAATCACTCGCACAACCCCGTGCCCTCCTCCGTAGTCCACTCCCGTTGTGTAGTGACTCTCTGCACTGACGTCGTTGACGAATTGTTAATCGACCCGTCACTGTTAAAAAATCACACATAACTCTAAATGTCTGGCACGACCACGTGCATCTGGACAATGAAAATTTCGCGAGGCGAAAAGTAAATGATGAAACCGATCGCCTGCCCAACGTTGAAGAAATGGTGTCAAGAACTGAATGATGTTTTGACTAAGGTTGGTTGGGGTAGATAAACCTAACCCTAACTGTTGTACCCTATGTCACACACATCACTTAGACTATAACATCTGACACACCTCCATAGCCTAAGTGAGGGGTGTCAAGCAAGACCAACAACGTACGGTCACAAGACCAGTCACAAAACAACAAAGCTCAGGGTGGATCACAATGTCACCACACACTCTGAGCACAAGCAAAAGAGCCACAAGGCCAGTCCAAGAGTTCACAGAGGTATATATAAAGCTACAAACAAAGAAAGGAGAGAACTTAAGACTACGCAAGGCGAGAACATGTGTCAACGAGACCTAACTGCACACAACACCTCTGGTGGTCACAAGGCAGAAGCGCCTTGGTGAAGATGTCTGCAGTGTTGGCCTCGGACTCCACAAAGTCGAAGCGAGCCTGTCCACGCCTCTACAACTCTCGCAGAAGAAAGTGTTAAATTGTAATGTGTTATATGTTGGTAGGCTGTAGTGGGGTAGCCAATATGGGGTACAACCCCAACTAGGGTTTCATATTTGTACCCAAACTTCTGCTAGTTCATTCATTCTTGCCTAGTTATTCTGAGATGGTATTCAGAGCAGGAGGTCCCTAGGACCTACCGACCGTTTTTTTTAGGGCCCACCACCGCTCGCATGCGGTTACCACGCTACCCCGTGCCCTAGCCTCGTAGCGCCCTCGTGCGCCCTCGTTAGCGCCCTCGCGCGCCCCTCGTTAGCGCCCTCGCGCGCCCCTCGTTAGCGCCCTCGCGCACCCTCGTTAGCGCCCTCGCGCGCCCCTCGTTAGCGCCCTCGCGCGCCCCTTGCTAGCGCCCCTCGCTAGCGCCCTCGAGCCGCCCGCTCGCAGCGTCGCCCGCCCGCCACGCTGCCCGCTCGCCCCTCGCCCGCCGCGCTGCCTGCTCGCAGCGTCGCCCGCTCGCCCCGCTGCCCGCTTCGCAGCCCGCTCGCCCCGCTGCCCGCTTCGCAGCCCGCCCGCCCGCTCGCTGCCCACTTCGCGGCCCGCCCGCTTCGCTGCCCGCTCGCAGCGCCGCCCGCCCGCCCGCTACCTGCTTCGCAGCGTCGCCCGCCCGCTTGCTGCCCGCTCGCAGTGTCGCCCGCTCGCCCGCTGCCCGCTTCGCAGCGTCGCCCGCTCGCTCGCTGCCCGCTCGCAGCGTCGCCCGCCCGCCCGCTGCCCGCTTGCAGCGTCGCCCGCCCGCCTCGCTGCCCGCTTGCAGCGTCGCCCGCCCGCCCGCTGCCCGCTTGCAGCGTCGCCCGCCCGCCCGCTGCCCGCTTCGCAGCCGCCCGCCGCGCTGCCCGCTCGCCGCGTCGCCCGCCCGCCCCGCTGCCCGCTTCGCAGCCCGCCCGCCGCACTTCCCGCCTGCAGCGCCGCCCGCCTCGCCTGCTGCTCCCTGCCTGTGCACCGCCGCTTGCTCCTGCTGTGGCTGCTAGCTTCGCTCTAGCGCGTCCCCTCTGCTGCTGCCGCTGCTCTGCTGTGCCCTCACGCCTGAGCTATGGCCTCTATTCGCGTTCTTTCCTTCGATGCTGAGGGCCGTCCCGTGCAGTTCACTTCCTGGCTCGACGACCTGCAGTTGTATCTTATGAGCAATAGCACGGACCACATCTCCCTCTATGACTACGCGTCTGGTGCTGCCGCTGCTCCTGCTGCCACAGCCGAGCTTAGTGTACGTTCACAGTGGCAGACTCGTGACGCTGCAGCTCGCCTGGCTATTCGCAGTCACCTGCCGTTAGCTGAGCTAGAGCACTTTGGCGACTGCAAAACCGCTAAAGCCCTATACGACGCTGTCGTTGCTCGCTACTCCTCACCTGCCACAGCCGAGCTTAGCCGTCTCATGCTGCCTTACCTGTTCCCTGACCTGTCCACCTTTGCTACAGTCGCCGATCTTATCACCCACCTTCGCACTAGTGATGCTCGCCTGCGTGCCGCCCTTCCCACCGAGTTCTGCGCTAAGAACCCCCCTCCCCTGTACTGGGCACTCCACTTCATAGTCACCCGTCTCCCTGACACCCTCAGCTCAGTGCGCGACTATTTCCTTGCTCGCTGTCCCACTGAGCTCACTGTCGCCCTCCTAGAGGAGAAGCTGCTAGCAGCCGAGAAGAGCATTGTAGCTGTTGGTGCTGCTCGCGGCGCTCCTCGCACCCCCATCTTTGAGGGGTGCTCTCCCTCTCCCCTCGCTCCCTCCTATGCTACTGCTGCTGCTGTTGACTTCCTTGGTGCTGAGTCTGCTGGCGCTGCTTCTGCTCCTGGTGGGAGGCGCCGCACCGGCAAGGGCAAGGGGGGCAAGGGTGGCGGGGGTGGCGCTGGGGGGGGAGGGGGTGGGGGAGGTGGGGGGGGAGGCGGTGCTGGAGGGAGCGGTGGCGGGAGTGCCGGTGGGAGTGGGGCCGGCGGCGGAGGCGGGGGCGGCGGCGGGAGCAGTGGCGGTGGTGGCAGCGGCGGCAGTGGCGGCGGTGGCGGTAGTGGCGGTGGCGGTGGCGGTGGTGGCGGTCGGAGCGGAGGTAGTGGCGGCGGTGGAGGTCGGAGTGGAGGCACCGGCTCGGGCCAGAGCTCCCAGCAGCAGCAGCGTCCCCAGTCGACCCAGCAGCTTCGTGAGTGGCTTGCTCAGCGTGGGACGTCGGGGGGCAGTGGCCGCTGTTCCTATGTCATTCGCACAGGTGATCGCAAGGGGCAGACGTGTGGAAAGTTCCACACTCAGTACCGCTGCTTCTTCCGCCTTGACGACGCTTGGCGTGAGGAGATGGGCGAGGATGTTGAGCGCCCTCGCTGGGCTGAGCTGATGAGGGCTGGTGTTGATATCTTTGCTCTTGACTATGATGCTATTATTGCTGCCATGTATGCATTGACTGTTAGTGCCGAGGGAGACTGTTACTTGTGTGTGCCGCCTGACCCAGGTATAGGGCCCGCTGCCCTAGGTACTAGTGAGTCTGCTCTCTCTGGTATGGTGCCCCCTGTACCTGCTCCCTCCAGCACTGTCCCTGCTGCTTGCGAGTCTGCTCTCTCAGGTACAGCACCCACAGAGACTGCTCTCTCAGGTACTGCACCGGCTGAGACCTGTCACACCTTCACCCTTGACTCAGGTGCTTCCCGCTGCTTCTTTCGAGACAGTACTGAGCTCACACCGCTTCCTGCACCGGTCCCAGTCTCCTTGGCTGACCCCTCTGGGGGCCCAGTCCTTGCCCAGTCCACCACTGTGCTCCCTTGTCCGGCGGTTCCGTCTGGCTCGTTGACGGGTTTCCACCTCCCCTCGTTCTCGACGAACCTGGTGAGCAACGCTGTCCTCCAGGATCAGTGGGTTGACACCTTTACCCCTGGAGGACAGCGTGTGGCGATCTGCACGTGCTCTAGGACCGGCCTTCACCTGACTACGTTTACCCGTCGGCCAGGGTCGAGTCTCTACACACTGACCACTGCGTCTCCTCAGGTCGCTGCTGTCGGTCAGGTGTCCGCGTCAGGTCTGGTGGCCCACGCCTGTGAGTGTCGTTCCCTGTCGCACCAGACTCTTCTCTGGCACCACCGCCTGGGTCACCCCTCCTTGCCACGCCTCCGTGGCATGCACCGTCACCGCCTTGTGTCTGGTCTTCCCAGGTCCCTCCCTCCCCTCCCTGCCTCGTTTGCGCCGCCTTGCCTTCCTTGCGTCGAGGGGCAGCAGCGCGCCGCTCCTCACTCCTCCTCGTTCCCCCCGACAGAGGCTCCTCTGCAGACCCTCCACCTGGACGTGTGGGGCCCAGCCCGCGTTCGTGGCCAGGGCGGTGAGCGGTACTTCCTGCTGGTCGTCGACGACTACTCGCGTTACACCACGGTCTTCCCCTTGCGCACCAAGGGTGAGGTCCCTGCTGTTCTGATCCCTTGGATCCGCACAGTTCGTCTCCAGCTCCGCCGCCGTTTCCGGACAGATCTTCCTGTCCTGCGTCTGCACTCTGACAGAGGTGGTGAGTTCTCCTCCGACCTCTTGAGGACCTTCTGTCAGGCGGAGGGCATCGAGCAGACCTTCACGCTTCCGGACTCCCCACAGCAGAATGGGGTTGCTGAGCGCCGCATTGGCCTGGTCATGGAGGTCGCTCGTACCTCCTTGGTCCACGCGGCGGCTCCCCATTTTTTGTGGCCGTTTGCTGTCCGGTACGCCGCGCATCAGCTCAACCTCTGGCCCCGTGTCTCCTTGCCGGAGACCTCGCCCACACTGCGTTGGACGGGGGAGGTTGGCGATGCGTCGCGCTTCCGGGTGTGGGGTGCTCGTGCCCTTGTCCGCGATACGTCCGCGGACAAGCTCTCCTCCCGCACGCTTCCCTGTGTCTTCCTTGGCTTTGTCCCTGACGCGCCGGGCTGGCAGTTTTACCACCCCACCTCGCGCCGGGTCTTCGCCTCTCAGGACGTCACCTTTGACGAGTCGGTCCCTTTTTACCGTCTCTTCCCCTACCGTACTGCCCCCCTCCCTCCCCCGCCGCTTTTCCTTGCTCCTGGTCCCCCTCCGGTAGACCCCCTTCCCCCTCAGGGTCCTGCTCCTTCAGGTGTCTCTCAGGTAGACCCTCCTCCCGTCGCTGAGCCTGTCGAGGTCACAGGTGACTCAGGTGCTGCTGCAGGTGGTGCTGCTGGGAGTGCTGAGCCTGCGGGTGCTGGGCCTGGGGGTGCTGGGACTACGGGTGCTGGAGCTGAGGGTACTGTGCCTGAGAGTTCGGCGCCTGGGGGTGCTGAGCCTGGGGGTACTGCGTCTGGGGGTGCTGAGCCGGCGTGTGCGGAGTCTGGGGGTACTGAGTCTGGGGGTGCTGCGCCTGCGGGTACTGAGCCTGGGGGTGCTGCTACTGGTTGTTCTGGGAGCACTACGACTGGAGCTGCTGGAGCTGGGGACTCTGGAGCTGGCGGCGCTAGCGGAGTTGTAGCTGCCGACTCTGGGGGTGCTCTTCCTTGCGGTGCTGCGGACCCTGGGGGTGGTGCTGCTGCTGGTGCTGCGGACCCACCTGGTGGAGCTGCTGCTGGAGCTGAGGACCCGAGCGGTGGCGCTGCTGCTGGTGCTGGGGACCCGGACGCTGGAGTCTCTTCTGCTTCTGGAGACGCTGCGCGGCCGCGGCCGTACTTCGTACCGCTCCTTCAGCAGGTTCTTGGGCAGGCTCCTCCTCCTTGTCCTCCTCCCTCCGTAGAGTGTCCTCCGACTGTCCAGCCGCAGTCACAGTTACCGCCTGCCTCGCCTCTCCCTGCTCCCTCTCCCTACACTGGTCCCACAGGAGGTCTTACAGAGCGTCGTGAGCCTGAGTCTCGTCCTGCGTCGCCTGTCCGTACTGCTCGCACTGGTCGTCGTGTCCGTCGTGAGCGTCCTCCTCCTGTCCCAGGCACTCACTACATGACTCTGCGTCCCTCTACTGCTCCTCAGCGTGTCCCTCTGCCGTCTCCTCCTGCGTCCTCTTTGCCTGCTGTTCCGGACCCTGAGTCTGACCGGTATCGTGCTGAGCACCCTACTGTCACGCGTCTCCTAGCTACTGTTGTCACTGACCCTACCTTTGAGTCCTCGGCTGCGTCTGCTCTGGTCGCTGAGTTGGTTGACTTTGCTGCTGCCTGTCGTCTAGACTACGCTGCTCGCCTTGTTGCTGGGTCTGAGTCTGCGTCTGTCTGTCCTCCGTCCGTCGGGGGTGAGTGTGCTCTTGGCACGGACGTCCTTGAGGACAGGCAGGAGGACTTTGACTCTCTCGCGGCTGCTGTACCTCATCTCGTGGCCTGGTTGCTTGCCCCTGAGGGAGACCCGGATGCACTAGACATCCCCACTCCGCGCACTTACGCAGAGGCGATCTCGGGTCCCTACTCCTCTCAGTGGCAGACAGCCATGGACGCAGAGATGGCATCCTGGAAGTCCACAGGCACCTACGTCGACGAGGTTCCCCCTCCTGGGGCGAACATCGTCGATGGCATGTGGATTTTCAGGGTGAAGCGGCCGCCAGGTTCTCCGCCTGTCTTCAAGGCTCGTTACGTTGCTAGAGGCTTCAGTCAGCGTCAGGGGGTCGACTTCTTCCAGACCTTCTCCCCCACCCCGAAGATGACCACTCTTCGGGTTCTGCTGCACGTTGCTGCTCAGCGTGACTACGAGCTTCACTCTCTTGACTTCAGCACAGCGTTCCTGCAGGGCAGCCTGCACGAGGAGATCTGGCTGCGCCGCCCACCTGGCTTTACTGGGTCGTTTCCTCCTGGTACCCAGTGGAGCCTCCGCCGGCCAGTCTACGGTCTCCGCCAGGCGCCACGCGAGTGGCACGACACACTGAGGACTACACTTGCGGCTCTTGGGTTCGCGCCGTCTACTGCTGACCCGTCGCTGTTTCTGCGCACAGACACGTCGCTGCCGCCGTTCTACATTCTCGTGTACGTCGACGACTTGGTCTTTGCTACTGCTGACACTGAGGCACTCGCTCGTGTGAAGTCGGAGCTGCAGAAGAGACACACCTGCACTGACCTGGGTGAGCTGCGTAGCTACCTTGGCTTGCAGATCACCCGGGACAGAGCTCGCCGCACCATCACCCTGACTCAGTCACACATGGTGCAGCAGGTCCTTCAGCGCTTCGGCTTCCAGTTCTCCTCACCACAGGCCACACCTCTGGCTACCAGCCACTCGCTCTCAGCTCCACCTCCGGACGAGTCCGTAGAGCCGAGTGGCCCGTACCCAGAGCTTGTGGGCTGCCTCATGTACCTGATGACTTGCACGCGACCTGACCTCGCGTACCCTCTTAGCATCCTTGCTCGTTACGTTGCGCCTGGGAGACACAGGCGAGAGCACTGGGAGGCTGCTAAGAGGGTGCTGCGCTACTTGTGCAGTACATCAGGCATGGGGCTGGTGCTTGGAGGACGCGAAAGAATTGTCCTCACTGGCCACTCGGACGCTTCTTGGGTGGACGACCTGGCTACGCAGCGGTCGTCACAGGGTTACACCTTCAGCCTTGGCTCTGGTTCTGTCTCGTGGCGGTCCACCCGCTCTTCCTCTGTTCTCGGCTCTAGTTGTGAGGCTGAGATCTACGCCACAGCCATGGCTGCACAGGAGTTACGTTGGCTCACCTACCTGCTGACTGACTTGGGAGAGCGGCCTAGTTCTCCTCCAGTTCTGTACGGTGACAACAAGGCGGCCCTTGCCTTGTGTCAGGAGCACAGACTGGAGCACAGGACGAAGCACATTGCTCTTCGCTACTTTCTTGCTCGAGAGCTTCAGCAGCGCGGTCAGCTTCGGCTTGTGTACGTGGACTCGAAGGCCAACACTGCTGATATCTTCACCAAGGCGCTCCCGCCTAGTGATCATCAGCGGCACTGTACTTCTTTAGGCCTTGTGTCCACGTTTCCTCACTTGCTCACTGCTTGACATTCTTTGTACTGTACTTTATATATATCTTGTTGCTTGCTTGCTAGGTTTTGATCACTGTGTTGCTTGTCTTGTACTATATCTAGCATTGCATGTGAACTGGCCTTGTGGCCTTTGCTTGTGCTCGGAGTGTGGTGACGTTGTGATCCACCCTGGGCTTGCGTTGCTTTGCTGGACTGGTCTTGTGACCCTTTGTTCTCCCCCACTTTGCCTATGGGGGTGTGTTAAATTGTAATGTGTTATATGTTGGTAGGCTGTAGTGGGGTAGCCAATATGGGGTACAACCCCAACTAGGGTTTCATATTTGTACCCAAACTTCTGCTAGTTCATTCATTCTTGCCTAGTTATTCTGAGAGAAAGTACATGTCATTGATGTTCTTCACTCTGCTCTCCATTCGCGGCTCTCGATAGAGGAGAATCGACGCCTTTTTGTCAGCAAACAAGGTCGGTGCAGAGCTCGGCCGCTCACAAATGTCGATGAGCAAGAAGGTCAACCAGCGCAGCTCCTGTGCAGCCATGGCTCCAGCGTAGATCTCAGCCTCAGCGGTAGAGGTCGAGACCGAGGAGGAACGCGTGGACCTCCACGAAACAGCTCCAGAGCCCAAGTTAAAGCAGTACCCCTTAGTAGACCTGTGAGTCTCGGCGTCGTTAGTGTAAGAAGAGTCATAGTGTCCAGTAAGTACGACAGACTATCTCCCTCCAAGAACCAACCCCACGCCTGATGTCGTCGCTAGGTACTTCGCCACCCTCACAGCAGGAGTCCAGTGAACTGGACGGTGTCTCCCTGGCGCAACAACGTGAGCAAGGATGCTGAGAGGGAAGGCGAGGTCCGGGCGTGCAAGTCATTTGATACATGAGGCAGCCCACAAGCTCTGCGTAGAGACCATTAGGCTCAAATGGCTCGTCAGGAAAGGGTCCTTTGAGTCAGTGGTCAACAGCAAGAGATGTGCGCTGTACTGTGGAGTGCTGAAGCTCGAACCGCTGAAGGACCTGCTGCACCATGTGTGACTGTGAGAGTGTAATGGTGCGAGCGGCTCTGTCCCTGGTGATCTGCAAGCCAAGGTAGCTGCACAGCTCACCAATGTCAGTGCACGTGTGTCTCTTCACGTCAGCCAAAGCGACCCTGTCAGCAATGGCGAAAACCAAGTCATCGACGTAGACCAGTACAAAGAATGGTGTGGAGCCCCGACGAACAAACAGCGACGGGTCTAAAAGTGCCATAAACGCAAAGGGACGACGCAACCAGACCTCCTCGTGTAGGCTACCCTGAAGGAAGGCAGTGGAGAAGTCGACGTAGTGTAGCTCGTAGTCTCTCTGTGCTGCTACGTGCAGTAACACCCGAAGAGTGGTCATCTTCGGGGTAGGCGCGAAGGTCTGAAAGAAGTCAACTCCTTCGCGCTGACTAAAACCTCTAGCCACAAAGCGCGCCTTGAAGACCAGAGGAGATCCCGGTGGCCGCTTCACCCTGAAGATCCACATGCCATCGACTACGTTCGCCCCAGGGGTGTGAACCTCGTCGACGTAGGTGCCTGTGGATCTGTAGGAGGCCATCTCTGCGTCCATGGCAGCTCTCCACTGAGAGACAGAGGAACGAGAGGCACGAGGGTCCGTAACAAGAGAGGCGAGAACACGAGAGAGAACAAGACGGTACGTGTGGTAGTAGTCTGTGACAGGAATAGAGAATGAAGCGGTAAGAGCCGACTCAGGAGGAGAAGGAAGTACAGAATGAGATGAACGAGGCGGACTAGAACGAAACAGGGCAGTACGAAGGTCAGTGAAGGGAACAGTGGACGATGGACGAGCACGAGGAGAGCGACGCAAAGGCCAAGTGTGAGACAGAGAAGGGGACAACGGGGGCAGAGGAGGAGGGAGAACAGCTGGGGAGGGGTCAGGAGGAGGAAGCGAAGGACCAGAGACGGGAGGAGAGGGGGGGGGGGGAGGGAGGAGAGGGAGAGGGGAGACCGAGGGTCCGAAGACCAGAGACAGGAGGAGGAGGTGGCGGCTGCTGCTGCTCCTGCTGCAGTTGCGACCGCTGCTCCTCCAGTTGCGGTGGCAGCTGCTGCTGCTGCTGCTTCGGCCGCCGCTGCTGCTACTGCTGCTCCTCCAGCCGCTGTAGCTCCAGCTGCCGCCGCTCCAACTCTCTCTCCTCTCGCTCCAACTCCAGCTGCTTCTCACAGGCACGGCGAACACGGGCCTGGTGCCGGGTCGGATAGGGGTGGGGGGAAGGAGTAGTGTCCGGGGCGGTGGTAGCCCCAGGACCGCTCTCCAGAGAACCAGTCACACCACCCCCAGAGCCTGCACCACCAGAAGTAACAGGGTCCGTCTTAGGCTCTCCAGGTCC